ATTTGTTATTAACCTTTTGCATAATCTTGTTCGACAAAAGGGCAAACTTACGCTTCATCTTGTTGCGATCTTTTTTGTTCAAACTCTTTTAAAGCTAAGTCAGAGTCGGTGCGTTATTCAGAATTCTCTGAATTTAAGGATGAATGACATATTAGATAAAATTTTACCGTAATTTTCCTCTCCTGTTTGAGTGGTAATTTCTGCTACTCAACGCGTTAACAAAATCTTCACAAAATCACATTTTGAGGTGAAATTTCAAGTTGGACTGGTAAACTTGGCAACGATGTTGAACGCGTCGACCCACATTCTTCGCCGTCGTCGCCTGTTTACGTTGACAGTTCGTTCGCAACATCCCCCTGGTGTCACTGGGCCAACGCTTTTTTCTCTTTTAATTTATTAAATGACGCCCCCTTCAAGTGGGTCTCGCTCGACTTAATGGAGAGCGATATGCCTTCGTTATTATACCAGACGTTCGCCCTGACACTGGGCAAGTAGAACTGGGAAGTTAAGTTCACGATTGCGATTCCGATTTCGTTCAGTAAATCTCTGGTTTAACCATTTTTTTGGCTGTGTTCACGCTGTTGGAAGTTTCTAAAAAATAATCTAGGAGAAAATGATAATCTAAAAAATGCTGTAGTGTTTTGTGGACCTATGTATATATTTGAAATAACCGCTGACCTTTCCGTGGCTGTGATGCATTTATATCTGAACAATGCGCGTTCGTTGAAGCAAACCTCCAATGTGGATGTTTTTTCGTTCATTATTAAATCCGTTCATGCGTGTTCGAATAATATTCGCAGTCATGTCAACCGCGATAGACGTATCTAATTTCAAATTTATGCAAAACTGAAATTGAAATCGTACCCTGGATAATGTTCGGAGAATTATCCAAGCGGGTCTCGCGCAAAAATTGTTTTGTTGCACAAGACCGGTGAAGCTTTGTATTAACCAGTCCTCCGGTTAGTATACATAGAGTGTACGATAATGAAGTGCACAAGATATAAGCAATTCATTGAACAAAAAATGTGCGCCTCTGAGTTTTTAATTTTTTGTTTTTCTAATATTGGGGCATTTTAGTGTACAAGGGCAAGAAATTTCAAAGCAATTGCAGAGTATTCAGGAGATTGGGATATTGTGCGGGTGAGTTTCTGGATATTTTGAGGAATTTGAAAGATCTTATCTGGAGCACATTGAAAATACCTGACGAAACTTAACAACAAACCAAAACTATTTTGCGGTCTGTAAGTAATCGAATAATTTAACAGATATCCCGTCAAAGCTTGAAAACTGAAAACTATGCACTCGTGGACCTATGCCTCTTAAAGCCTCGCAAAGTAATAGCAATTTTTTTAACACCTTGAATAATACAGCTTCTTGTTAGTTTTTATAGTACATTTTTTCGCAGTAGTAGGATTACATTCATCAGAACTAACAAATGCCAAATTTATCAATCGCTCTCAAACGGAAAATGTCCGTAGGGGTGAAAGGCTCTTTAAACAAAGTGCGCTTATATCAATTTGTGGAAGTGCCATCGTAGTACGAATAATTAATAAATTAATCCTTTGGTTATTACCATAGATATTGCCTATTTGCTTTTTCGTGCATATCAACTGATTTTTCAAATATTCGACTTGGCCCGTAGCGAGATTAACTATTTTTAATTAGTGACGACCAAAGTTAAATCAACAATACACCACCATTTGCCCACCGGTCGAAATTGTAAGGTGAAGGAGCAAGTACTACTAGTGAGTGAGTGAGTGTTTCACCATGTAAACGAACCGATGATAAAGTAACGTGCACGAGTAGCTTCTACGAGTAGAGGAGCCGGCAAGATCCCGAACCCTTTCGGAGGTTATCTACACATGGTGCAGCCGAGCAACAATAACAACGGAGGCTCCGACATGGACTCGCTGGAGGACATGTTGCGGAAGGTGAGATCGCTGCTACTATACAAAGACGCGTACCGCCGGGGGGTTGGATTGGGGGGAGGGAGCGGGGTGGCCGCCCTCTGCGTGCGTGCCTATGACGATATTCCACTGAAGTGTCATAAATAACAGGCACGTCTACCGATCCGTTCGGGAATTGCGTGATATACCTCGTGTCAATTGATACAAATGTCGGTAGGATGATGAAGGGGGGCTGGAGTAGGATTCCCTCGTATACGTGTTGTATGCAATATCGGTTTGTTGGGGAACACTATGTCAATATTCTCAACTCGTCATTCATAAACTTTCACGACAGGTTAAATAACTCGACAACACATCATTGCTTCTGCAATATGTCAAATACACGTAAAATGACATAGTCAACGTTAAACAGACCAGTATTTATATAACATTTAAACGCCTGTCAAGTTTAAAGAACCGTTGACATTTTCACACAGCACTTCCCTGTATAAAATAATATGCGTACGAAGATCATATTTCTAACCAAGCATAGTCCTGATACAAACTCTGTAACGTGATTCGGTCTACTCTGCCATATACCCTGGAGCAATAGTGTTGAACATCAAAGGCAGACCAAATTTTCTTAATTGCGCTGCCGCCATATTGCAAATTTGTATTCGTTAATTATCGTGTAGGCAAACGTAAACGTACTTGTATAATTACATCGACTGATGGTAAGAGGTGAGCTAGATTTTATGAGTTAGCAGAATAACAGTAAAACTCATCAATGTGTTTGCAATGAAAGGAAAATTTGATACATAATTTTAGTTTGTTACTACAAGGCTATTACTTTTACATGGTAACAGTAATAAATCAAAATCGACCTTACTGAACGGGGTTTACGTTACAAAATTAGGTGCGGGATTCACGTGCTTCGGATAAAAAATTAACACGTTCCGCTATAGCCGAAATTTTTATTTCCACAGCTCCGACAATGTTTTATCGTTGTCGTGAAAAGCGGTCGAGGTTAGGAGAGATAGCGGCGAGGCTCCCGGGGGAGGGGATAGCTTAGGTCCCCAAACGTGACGTGAAAATCAAGAGCATCGCTTGGCTTACGAAAGGGAATACATGCAACACGTGGTTGAATCTTGGCAAGATTCTGCACGCCGCGGGTTTTTTTTAAATAAATTTAATATGAAACTTCCATGGTTATGTTGTAGTGTCAAGTCGAGAAAGAGACCGTTTTGCTGCAACTGAATATACACTTATAGACGTTCAAATTTATTGCAGTTGGGTGTTTAAAAAAGTGACAATCGTAACCGTTCAAGTTGTGAAAAACAGCAGGGTGGAGGTTTGTTAGAGATAATGCGAATTCTTCATAATACCTTGAAGGCCGGAAAAGTAAAATTTAAAAAAAGTTGCATAACTTTGTCATCTCTTTTATACCATCTTATCCATTATTCCATACATTTAAATCTATTATATGGCAATAAAACGGTTGGGATTATTCGTTATCCGAATCAGCCAAAACTTACCCCAGGGGACCATTGTTTACGTTTAGAGGTGGACGATCTCGAAATACATCTCTCTCAAAAACGATGTATCAAGCGGAATGGCTTGCAGTATATATTCCTGGCGACGCATTGCCTGGGGATTTTCGTTGACCCGACGGAATTTGGCCATAAAAACGACAGACTTGACAAAGGAAATAAGCTTAATAAAATTGAATCGCATCCACCGGGTGTTTTAGAATTTGCCGTGTTCCGTTTTGACCATTGAGTGGATAAAAATTTAGTGTCCTATACGCGACGATCCAATTCTCTTGAAACTCGGGAATCTATTATTGAGGTTTTCCTCAAGAATCCATTCATCCATGCGTTTCAAGCAGGTTGTTGGAAACTCAACCTAATACTTGTTGGATTCCAATTTAGTTCTGACATAGGGATACGTACGTTCGCACCCTTTAATAAAATTTAATGGAACAGTGTGTGTAGTGCGGGATGTCAAGTGGGACATCAATAAAGGGCGACACAGGTGCAGTCGGGATCCAATCAACAGGGCTAAAATAGCGCTTGGAAACGATCGCTATGTTGTCACGTGAGATCTGGCGAGGGTATTGTTTCAATTTAGATTTCCTTTTTCAGGTTATTTCAGGTTAATTACTATTATTCGTGGTATTATTACCTTTGGCAGTTTGAGTCGATCCATTGTTTTTCTTAGTTTAAAATGAGATTTGAAATCTGGATTTATCAATGGTTCCGGTCTGTGACCTCATCCCACTGGTGTCTAAACTGCGGGACATTGTGAACCCAAACTCTTAACACTTCTTTCTAAAGGCAACATGTTCCAAACTCTTTTTCGTAAGAGTTGGCAACACAGCTGTCATGTAACTCCCCAAAAACAAGCAAATGGTACTTGGGAACACGGCCGCGTGGTGTCGGCTCCGCAGTGTTTATATTAATTAATCAAGCCGAATGGAGGCCCGTCCCCTCCCTTCCCGCAATAATTAAAACGCTTGTCATCGTTGTTTATCGACGTTAAAATATTAAGCGAGAATACGCCACGCAAAAACTGCTAATTTCGTGTTGATAAATTTCCACGCCTTTTCACTCCGTTAATATATTATAAACTTACGCCCTCTCCTCTTCTGTAATCCCTTCCCGTCACAGATTTCTCAAAATCTCTGCATCGCGTACGCCTAATTCCCCTAGATCCTTGACTAGAATGTTGTTACAGCTACTCAAACATCATAAGGCTATATCTGCGAGACTAGACATGTTCCATCCTGCGGTGGATAAAGTTCCTCCCGCCGCCGACAACTCCGACTAACCTTTTTTGTTAAAGTATCGACGTAACTCGTGGCGCCACCTGGTCCTTGCGTCACGAAGCTTCGATTAGCCAACGACTCGATAGATGGCGATGCGTGTGATTTCGGCGAATAGGGAAATTGTTACTGGTTTATTTTTATTTGCTTTTTAAAAATGACGCTATAAACAAGTCATAACATAAGCCAAGGAATTGGTTACCTGTATTCCTTCTCGGGTTTCAAACACGGACAAAATAATTTTAAAAAACAAAAATAAAAATGCCTTTTAAATATTATTTTTGTTTCAGCTTTCCGAATTGGAGCAACGGGTTTTGGAAGCAGAGGGAAGAGCTGAGGAAGCAGAGGATAAGGTCAGTATTACCCATGAACAAAATCGCGTTAGGAAAATAGGATGATCAAAATAGACGTTGGGCTGATTTATAAATTCTTCTGCGGATTCACCGGCGAAATCAAAATTTTTTCAAACTTTTTCGTTACTATAAAAACCTTTTCTCAAATGTTTACTAAATCGCCTGTTTTTATTTATTTTTACTGTTTATAAATCTTCTCGATTCCTGCTGTGTCGGTTATTTATAAATCGGTTAAGCTCTGAAGAAGTCAACAGTATGATTGGCGCAACGTCAGCAATTTATAAACAACCAACGCAGGAAGAATCCAGAAGATTTGTAAATAGTATATATTTATTTATTTTATTTTTTAATTATTTTATACAGCTGTTTTCTGTATCATTTGATGAAGACTCAAATTATGATGCAAAAGAATTTAACCTTCTCCTTTTAAAGCAGAAGCACGAACATCTGAGTGAAATGTAATGTAATGTAAACACGCAGCAGAAGAAGGGAAAGACATATCCATGGTGCGGCTCAATTTTACCAAAGTAAATGTGTAGCAATAGAACTTAACTAACCTCAAAAATACGGTTCTTTTCGAGTAGTATTCAGTTGAATCATTTCCTCTGAGCAAGGGGCCTTTTCCCCTGGAATTGACAACGCAGGGATTACGGTCGTCTTGCGCGCAATGCCTGTCAAAAAAAAAACGCTCCCCCAAGCCAAAACCCTTGCGTCCCGACGCGTGGCGTAAGGGATAAAGCCGAGGGGTTGCCTGGGCGACCCAAACTTTCGCTATCGTATACGTATATTGATTATTTTTCGTCTCGACGCGCGACCCGCCATGATGGCGGCTTTCAGCTGACAGGCGAACACTGAAAAGTCCGCGGTCGGTTTTTGTTTTTTGCGCGTTCTTTTGTTTTTCCCGGCGGTTTCGTTTGTGGCCGAGGTGGCGCGGGTGATTTTTCGGCGAGATGGACTCGGATGAAATGTAAGTTTGACACGGGGTTTTCGTTGTTTGCTTGTTGAGGCTGTCGCGATTGTATCTAACCTATAAATATTTAGGGGCGACTTTGGTTCAGTAATCTGGACGTGAGACGACGAAGCTAGTCCAAATTTGCAAGCTTCGTTAGCGTTTGAATTTTTCCTACCAAGTAATCATTGAATTGATAAAACAGCAACTATGTTTTCGGAAGCGTAGTAAACGCAGCAGCAGTGCGGGCCGAAATTTTTGCGAATAGTCACTACCATTGTTTTTGGGATTCTTTTGAAAGTCACATGTGTTGTTGCCCATTGCTGGCTGTTTAATAAATTAGTTGAAAGTCGGAGCGTTTCGTTAACAGGTGGCGCCACGGGTGTATAAATCGAAATTTGGGTAATCTATTCCTGCGGTTTTTGCCACTGGAATTGCACTACAATGTTGTTTCGTTTTGAAAACATACTGAATAAAGATTTTGAAAGGCGTATTGATAATTCAACAGTGTAAAAATAAGTTTTTTGGAGCTTTGAAACCATCATTATTACAATAAATTCAAATAAAAAAAAAGAGTAAAAAAAGTTCTTTATGTGATGTTATGATTTGTAAGACCTTCTCTACTTATTCGATTGCAATGGGTCTGAAATCTAAATTTACCATCTCTTAGGTGATCGACGTGTTATGACTCACTTAATTTCAGCTATCGGCGGCATGTGTGGGGTAATGACCCCCCATTCACTGTTCGTTCGCATGGAAGGATTTATTGTTTTATGCTCTAATATTCCTCTTCTGTTTTAAAACCACCATTCTTTGTATCGAGTTATCCATGTTACCAGCGCTCTTTGTCCGATGATAATCGCGCAACAGCCACAGGCGTAACTAGCTTTAAGTTATTAGTTGGTGTAGACTTAGCGCCTTTTCTTTGAATCACTTGCACTGAGCGATACGATAGACTGAATTAAAAAAAAATAAAAAATTACAAAAGAAACATAAAAAGGATATTACAAAACAGTCGATCGATCCGTTAAGTCTACATTAATTTCACTAAACCAATAGAGCTTTGCTTATTTATTTAAGGTTTTCAAGCATCTTCAAGTATCTTTTAATTGAATAAAAGAAATTGTTTCATTTTGTTGAATCTGATAATTTTTAAAAAAGTAAGAAATTTCAAATCAAAATTTTAATTAAGACAGAAAATTGGACGAAAGATCAAACTAATTCCAAAAAATGAACTTCAGATTTATAGATCTTCGTCAGAAAAGGTACGCTAACAGACCCCTTTCTGTTATTTTTTTCATCACTCTGAGCTTTCTGCTAATAAAAGTCATACCGAAACTGTGTTTCTGTATATGTATTTTCAAAAGTTAACTTAACAAAACATAGGAAATCCTATGTAAATTTTTAAGTAGCCAAATATTGTCTCCCATGTACATTTTATAGCATAGTTGTAATATAACTTCTTGAAGGGGCCCGTGATGATTAACTCATGTGCCGAGTTTGAATAAACTTTAATAAGCCAATCTTCAGTTATTGAATTAATTATGAAGGCAAAATCTGAAAATTATTATTCGAGTCCAGAGGCACCGTAATAAATAAGCGCAAATGTTCAGCTGAAAATGTCGATAATAGAGCAGAAAAAAGGGGTATTAGAGATTTAAGCATTTTGCAGCGTGTGGAGGCTTCTTGGACAAACTGTAAGTAAACATCAAAACACAGTATTGCGCACATTAAAAAACACAAATATTTTTCCTACAAATACGAAAAGCACCAAGAGCTCCGGAAAGGCGATGAAGAAAAAAGTGGCATTTTGTTTTGAAATGATGGAAAAAGTAAATAATAATACATATATTTTTTTAATATTCGTTTCACTGATGGAATGTACATTCTTACTCGACAAAGAACCAAATGTTCAAAACTGTCGGTATCGGAGCCAAGACAATGAATATCGTTTTGTTCATACTCGACGCAAAAAATATGTGTTGTGGTGGGCATTTGCGTTGGACCATTTTTGATGGACCATAACCTTTCGGAACCTTTCGGTAGAAAGATATTTGGATTTATTACAAAATCAAATTGAACCCGCACTAGAAGAAGTTGTTCGTGACCTGGTACGAGATGGATGATGGATAAGTCCCGTATGGCTAGCGAGAGTCACCTGACCCATCGCCGAACGACTTCTTTGTGTGGGGTAAGTTTTATCTATAAAAATGTTACATTTGAAAATCTTAACCACCAAAACGTTTCCTCAGGAATGTTAGAAATGATTTTTATGATCACTTAATGGTATTTTTATTAAAAATTTTATTTTTAATAAAGGACTTGAGGGTTAAATTTAGAGTCGTTCTTTGAAGCTTCCTTGTTGGTTAAACCCCCTTTAAATGAAAATTCAAGAACGCTTTAAGGGACAACGAGGTCTGAAGAACTGAGTATGAGTTTGGTCTTAAGAAAAACATGATGAGACTAAATGTGCATGTCTTTATTGTAAACCAACTTTAATTTCATATGCCATTGTCCAGCTTGACGTCAAGATTTGGAAATAATAGTGTTTGTTGTATTGACTTTTTGCAATTTTGCCATCAAATTTAATTCAGTAACTGAAAATTGCTGTAAAATGTACAGGGGAGCCAATATTTGGCCACCTAAAAATTTACGTGGGATTTCCTATGTTTAGCGTTTAAAATGACGGATTCAAATCGACCTACTTTTTTGGTAACACCCTGTATAGATTGGCCCAAGAAACTTGTTTATCAACTCTTTTCGTTGAAGTAGTAGTGGTGTCCCTTTTTTTAACGTTTCGTACCAATTCATTTGATTTCCTGTAAATATGCAAATCAGAATAAAGGTCGTGTAAACGAACATTGAAATTTTTACATGGAGATTTTTACTAACGTCAACGTTTAACTTTATTTGATAGGGTTACTTACGCCACTGGCGGCGGCAGTCTCATTTCTCATATACGCCATAATATCTCTGGCACCGAGCCAACGAAACCGGAGGTCTTTAACATTCGGCCAATGGCAAGAGGGTGGATGGTCTATTTTTAAGATGCCCGAGTATTTATACGTATTTCTGTAAATTTGTAAGCGCCCAACAGCACTTAATTCCATCGCTGACCAAAGTGCTCTTATCTTTATAAATGTGTTACTTTGGTACAGTGTATGACAAAGTGCCCTTTAGACCACGCTAGTCATTATTCGTTTTTTAGCGTCTGTGCTATTCCGATATATATATATATATATATATATATATATATATATATATATATATATATATATATATATATATATATATATATATATATATATATATATATATATATATATATATATATATATATATATATATATATATATATATATATATATATATATATATATATATATATATATATATGATGACACTATATTCCGGGATATCATCCGTTCGCTCGTTGAACTCCGACTGGAATCCTGCATCCGACTGGAATCCTGCAGACGTTTCGCCAAAATCTCACTTGGCATCTTCAATATATATATATATATATATATATATATATATATATATATATATATATATATATATATATATATATTCTCACGTATTGATTCACGGATGGAAAAATGTGATGACACTATATTCCGGGATATCATCCGTTCGCTCGTTGAACTCCGACTGGAATCCTGCATCCGACTGGAATCCTGCAAATCTTGCATCCGACTGGAATCCTGCAGACGTTTCGCCAAAATCTCACTTGGCATCTTCAATGCTCGCGTTTCGAAGTGTTTTCGGAGCGCGAGCATTGAAGATGCCAAGTGAGATTTTGGCGAAACGTCTGCAGGATTCCAGTCGGAGTTCAACGAGCGAACGGATGATATCCCGGAATATAGTGTCATCATATATATATATATATATATATATATATATATATATATATATATATATATATATATATATATATATATATATATATATATATATATATATATATATATATATATATATATATATATATATATATATATATATATATATATATATATATATATATATATATATATATATATATATATATATATATATATATATATATATATATATATATATATATATATATATATATATATATATATATATATATATATATATATATATATATACTGTGTTTACCCAATCAAAAATGTTCCTTCTTCCATTTGTTCATGACGCGTCATGCGATATTTCGATGACTAATTTTACCGTAGCTGTAGGCGTATGCGGGGCATGTCAAAGTAAAACGGCCCCAAGGATTCGTGGAACTAATTAAACTAAACGCCTTTATAGGGTTGGTGTTTTATTCGGATCCATCGTTGCCGTTTTAATTGGCATTCTCTGTCTGCAAAGCTCTTGGCGGGAAATGGGAGGTTTAATGGTATGTTTTATATTTAGGGGTCGCATAGATAAAAAAGCAGTCGAATATTTCGATATTCCTCTTGGTTCTTGGGCGTTTTCTTAAAATGCTTTTATTGTCGATATCTTATACCTCGCAGAAACTAACATCAAAACACTGTTTATTTTCAATTTTTCATTATCTTTTAAACTACTCCTGTATCTTCAACGAAGCTTTTTCTACTTCCGCTTGAAGCAGAATGTTTTTCCTTTTCATATGTGTGTTATGAATATCGGCGATAAGTAAATCGATTATTTCAACACCCCGTCGACATATAACGACGGCGAAATCCTAACCCTCATTTTAGCCCCTCCTTCACCTATGTCCACCCCAACCTTAAACGTATTGAATCATACTGTAAACCGTCCGTCGTTGCCAAAACAAATCGGGTGCCGATGACCGAAGTACTTTTGTCGGGAAAGTTTCGTGACGACGACGACGACGCGCGTCGGGACGCTGTGGCGTCTCCCTCGGTTCCAGTCGGTGTAATCGCCTCTTCTACACACACTTTTCCGTCGATGCAGTGAGCCCGAGTGCTTTATATAAACGCGTTTACGGGGTGTTGTTTTGTTGAGAGTGCTCGAGGAATTTTTTTGGATGCTAATAATGGAGGTTTCCGGTTGCGGTAATATTACCTTTCTTTTTCTATACACTTTTCCGCCACTGCGCACACATAAAATAACAAAAATTGAAAAATCGTATTATATGAAAATGTTAGATTTTGCTATAATTTTTTTTTTTAATTTTGCATAAGTTTTTCTGAAGAGTTTTCAGAAATTTTGAGTCCGTGCACCGGCGCCTCTATATTACCACTAATACCTAAGTTTTATTTAAAATTAATTTTCAAATTAGAGATTACAAATATATCTACACAAAATATTGAGATCAATGAAATGGTAATAAAAGTGATGAATCTATATGATTTGAACAAAGTCAAAGTTAATACAAACCATTTATAAACTAGGACACAGTGACAGAATTTGAATTAAAATATTTGGAGGAAAGCAATGGGGATAAGATCAGTTTTATGTCAAATGTACCCAGAAAGACACTAATTGGTAAATTATTATTGCTTAGTTGGGTATTTTAGTATAGGGAGTAGAAAAAATTATTATAAGGCGAATATCAACATTTAACTTGTATTTCTTGACAAATATACGATTATAGCGAATTCAAAGGAACACTTCTGACAAAACCTGACTTTTTGTGGCTTAGAATCCGAATGTGTAATAAAATGGCGGTCTCCCTCTAAGATTTTAAAGTTGCTCCCAACCCAATGTCCCACCGCCAATCGGTCATGTTTGGTGTTATTGAACAGTTTTCTTATTCAATATTCAATATGTGTTTTGGATTGAAGGTATAATTCCTAAGATATTCCGCCTTTGCATTACTTTTTGAACAGGGTATATTTATTTAAATTTTTAAGTGATCCTAATGAACTTCTGTTTTTTGCTGTAAAAATTATGCTTTAGGTTTCATTTCATTTTCCTGTTAAATGAAATAAACGACTTTCATTTTCTATCGAGTGATCTTTTTTGACATCATTTTTGACTCACCATTTTTTGTCTTGAATCATTGCAACGGAAAGTAAGTAAAACAACATTAATCGCTATCAAAATTTTATTTATTTTCTCGGTCTAATCACCGTATGTGTCATATTAGTGTTTATCTGTTTGAAGTCTCGAATCAGCGCCGTATCGTCTAATTAGTACAAATGTTGGACTATTTCAGTTTATATTTGTATTTAAATTGGACGCACGGTTGTGATGTGTCCATTAACAAACGTAAGTAAATGTTTAAACGGCATTAATAAAGCGGGTCGAAACTATCGGGATATCCGATCCGATAGACGCCCGGTATTTATTTATAAAAACGCTTGCCTCTTTGTATTCAGGGAACCGCGTCGAAGTGACATAGCGTGTGTTGTGTTTCTACAGCCGTATATTTTTAATAATCCATGCGGTAGCAGATGGTTGAAATTTAAATGAACGCTGGTGCATGTTTTAAGCAGTTTTGTGACACTGCAGCTGCGTATACCTGAATGGTCGATAATTACCCGCGGGAGTTTTGTGAAACAATCATTTATCGACATCGGATCCGCCATATTTTAGTCGGAGAATTTAATGATCTTCGCCAAAATTACTATAAATTAAAAGCAAAATTGAAAAATAAATTTTTCGTTTTTTTTTTTATATTTTGACCAAATTTTTTCGAATACCTTGTTGGAAGTTTTTATTTTCTTCATTTCTTGTCTGAATTTCTAAAATCGCTTACTAGGTTTCGTTTTCCTGATACCGTTATTGATTTAATATTTTCCTATACCCCTTTCATTATCCTAATCATGAAATTACCCTCAAGGTACGAATAATGGAACAAAAGCTAGCATGGTCAGCTCAAAGTGACACGAACAGCGCCCAGATACATCGGCTAGAGGGCGAAGTGGAAGAACAGCGGCAGCTCCGCCTCCAAGACGCCCGGCAAGTCGAAGCCAAGGCCGCCCGCATCAAAGAATGGGTCACGAATAAGCTCAAAGAACTCGAACAGCAGAACCAGCACCTTAGGGAGCAAAATATCAAGTGCAATCAGCAGTTGGAACTGCTGCGAAATCATTTGGCTTTGGCAGATCGGAGAAGGTCGGAAAGCTGTTCTCCCGAACCCAGACAAGTAAGTCTTTTCCTACAGTGAAAGTACTTGCTTAAATTTTATTTCTAAAACTGCAATTGAGGTATTTTCTTCAAGTCTTTTGATACTATTTTTGTTCTTAATAAAAAGTATTTGTGCGTGTAAATAAGTCAGTTGTTAAATCTTCCGCTGCACTATTATCACATGAGCTATGTTATTCCTTGTAGCTACCTCTATCAACCACGTCATCATCTCGAACGGCGAGGCATCGTAGACACCAGTCGGTGTGTCTGTCGACCAACACCAACTTTGAACCCGTCGTACCCAGCACATTAGTAACCAGCGTCAATTTCGGCACTACGAGCAACTCTAGCATGGACCCGCTGACTGATGAGCTGAGAGCTGCGGTCGACAATCTTAGCGTTGGCAGGATACCGAGCAGTAGTGCCAGTGATCCAGACCTAGCCCATGATTACGCAGAAATTTACACCCCAAGCCGCGAGAAAGTGACTTGGCCACGAGCTCCCACTCCGCCCCTGCACAGGTTTCCCAGTTGGGAGGATAGAATATATCAGGTGGCAGCTGACGGCCTAACTCTGACCGGTACCACACCTAGTGATATCGGACCGGAACAGGCCGGTTACCAAGACATTCCAGTACCCGTATACGCTACCGTTAAAGGGCGAGCTAGTCAGATAAGGTCGATGCCCTTTACGGGAGATTCTTCAGACGATTCGAGTGACGGTGAAGGCAACAATACGGGAGGAGTGGATGGTGGTACGCAGACCCATAGCAGAAGTTCTGGCGAGACTTCCGGTTCTAGTCCAGGAAAACGGACAGGTTCCAGCAGTAGCGGGTCGCCCAGCAAAAGCAAAACCAGAGGTAATTTATTGGTTTTCGTTCCTTAGTGGTCTCGGTATTTTGCTTGTTGTCTTCTCGCTTTAGATATTCTTTTACTAATAATAAACTGAAGGTGTTTCAGATACATCATTCGAGTCAGGAATGTCTGATGACTACGCCGTACCGCCGGATGCTTTGAGTTGCGATACGACTAGTCTAGAGTCATCCATGATGTTGCGGACGTCGTTCCTCGACAGTCCGAAGAGGATAGAGAGCTTGGAGAAGAGTGGGTCTTTAGCGAAATTGGGTGAGTTCTTTTAGTTGATAGGGACGAGATTAGTATATTGTCAATGGTTAAAGTTAGATTTTATTACTCTTCCGACTTTATTTAGTTAGATGGTGCATTAATAAATAAAAATAAATAATACAACTGACACCATCAGTTTTTTTTTAATGTGAACCTAGTTTTGGTTAGCCACAATCGCTTTATTCATAGCACCAGTAATAGCGTAGGAAAAGTACTTCTAACTATACCAAGTTTATTAAAATCGGTTACACCTTTTTAGAATTGTAGACATTTATTTGGGAAAAACGTTAGAATATCCCTTTCATATATAGACTAAGGCGCATTAAACAAAAATATTTGTCTCAGCCTTAAAGCAGTTCTCAAACTAACTTCGTGAATATAAGAAAATTTTACAAAAAACGAGCTCGAAAATAATTTTGGGCATTTTATCTTGTCCGACTAAATATTTTCTTTGTTTAATTTTTAGGCCAATCCGTTTCCCTAATACCCCACTTACCCTTACATAAATTAAGTGAAGACATCTTAAATGTTTTTCGCATGATTTTTAGGCGGAAAATTGAAAACGTGGCGTAAAAAATGGTTCGTTCTCAAGAACGGCGTGCTGACCTATTACAAGAGCCAAAGCGACACCAACAGGAAACCCCAAGGTCAAATAGTGCTCGACGAGGTGTGCAAAATAACAAGAGCGGACGGCTCCAACACGTTCGAAATCGACACTGGGAAAAAAACTTACTACCTTACCGCCGACACCATTACCGCCATGGAGGACTGGGTAAGTGTCCGTCACGCCCTTCGAAAATAGACGATCTAACGCGGGCGTGTGGCTTCGCAGGTGAGGATCTTGCAAAACGTCCAACGCAGAAACGCCACGAAGATACTCCTCAGCAAAGAAGAAAACAAACCCTCCGTCCAAGGTTGGTTGACAAAAGTGAAAAATGGCCACGCCAAGAAGTGTTGGTGCGTGCTAATCGGGAAGATGTTTTTGTATTTCAAGTCGCCATCCGATATGGTAAGAGTGATTTCCGATTTTTTTTTCAGTTTAGTTTTAATTAATCTTTTCATTGTTGTCTTGTTTGCCTTTTGTTTTATCTTCAAGAGTTCTGTTATTATTTGTAACCAAGTAAATACGATGTGTTACATTGTCATAATACATGTATTATGACAATGTTGATCGATTTTCAAGTCGTTTTTATTCAAAGATGCATATTATCACCCTCCTTTTTGACGCTTGAAACGTGGTTTAATCATAACAATTAAAATTTGTATAATATGATTGCGTAAACACTTTTTTGCAACTTTTTAAATTTGACTCAAAAAGATTTTGCTTTTAATGTCAATCCGAAGATGATGCGAAGGTGGTCAGTTTAGGTTTTATTGTCCCGATGTTCTCCCAAAAATTTTAGATTTTTGGTCAAACGGGGCTTTTTTATTTAATTTTTTTCAAAGAAACTTCCACAGGCTACTGCAATACTTTTTACAAAAGTTCTGGATTCCTCCTTCGTCGGTTTTTACGGAGTCGAACTTGCTAACGTTTCGCCAGTCATCCTGTTGGCTTCTTCAGAGCGTGACTGAAACGTCAGCAAGTTCGACTCAGCAAAAACCGACGCAGGAGGAATAAAATTTTATGTCCGGTTTCGTGTTTGGCAAGTGATGTTTTGAATGTAAGGAAGGACCACAGTGGCAAGTGTAGGATTGCTTTCGGCCTCATTGCTATTGGACGGTTGTGGTGAAGTGTATTTTGTGATGGAACGCTTAATATCTTTAATGTGGAAATTATTATTATTATTATTATAAGAGAAGAGCAGAGGTGAGGTGTTTTAATTCTGGGTTCAGTGACTCAGGTTGCGATAGTTTGACGGCTCTGTAGAGAAGAGAGTTGATAACCGATGATTTCTGCCGCGGATGGTGATGTGCATTAAGCTATCGGTCTGTGTGCGTAGGTTTTCTGTAAACACAATGAATGACTCAATGTTAGGTCTGATTTTCTATTCATAAGTGTATCTAGGACTATCTAAGAAAGTTTAAATGAGGCCAAATAACAAAAGTATCATCGACGTAGGGTTTTGGTTTTAGATGAAGGGTGTCGAGAGCTTTCTTCTCAGAGTATTCCACAAATTTATTCGCGATTACTGGTGATAGTGGGGAACCCATAGCTGTTCCCGACGTTTGTTCAATAATTTGACCGTTTTAAGAAAAATATTTATTTATTTATTTATTTATTTATCAGCGGGCCAACCGCCCAATATAAAATAAGATTCACATAAACAAATTAGTAAAAAACAAGATAAAATAAAATAAAACAAAAATTAAACAGAATGAAATAGATAGATAAAGACCCAACATTAATATGAGAAACATTGGTTTTTCCAAAATATTAATATTAATATAGGAGTCGACACGACCGTAAGAACACATAGTAGCTAGACAGCAACACAATGTTATAAAATATCATTCAGAAGTCAGACAAGGGAACAGTTTTACTGACAGTCTTTAAGTTTTTTCTTAAATATTCTTGCACTCTGGAAGCAGTCAAGTTGGTCCGAAAAGCGATTTGCTAGTGCGGCTGGCCTAGTAGGAAAAGAACTCTGCCCATAGTTAGTACGATGGAACTCTACCTGGAAAGAGTGGTCTTTTCTGGTTGGCGGGATGGTGGGGGGGTTAAAGGCGAAGCCCAATCTTACATAACAGCTCAGGTCCATGAGAATTTGACTGCAGTAGGTAATAAAAAATGGTGAGATCCCGATGCATGCGACGAATCTGGAAAGTTGTAAGTTGGAGAGAGATTTCGAATTCCGAGTAATTAACGTCCTCAAATGCTTGGTCCTTCTTAAATGCTATATACCGCAGGAACGTATGCTGCACTGTTTTTATGGCCTGTATGTGGACGTTATACGAAGGTGGCTATACATAGGAACAATAATCCAGGTGTGGACGCACGAGGGAGCAAGTAAACAGTAATATGTTCCAGACAAGCATTTTTCATTTAAGGTGAGAAGGTTTGGTTCCAGATTCTCTGATTTTACTATATCTGAAATGATGTTGAGAGTTTCAGGAATAGGAACTTTAGTAAATAGGGATTCTACATCGAAGCTAACTAGAATCTATATAATGTAATGTTTTTTAAGTGTTCAATGAAGTGAAAGGAATTAAGTACGAAACTGTCAATTTTCCCTGTAAAGGGTTTTAATAAGAAAGCTAGATATTTTGCTAGAGAATATGTTGGAGAACCAATGGTACTGACAATCGTAGTTTGTGAATCTTCGGGAGTCCGTAGACGAGGAATTTTAGAGAGAGAAGGAGCCTTACTAACGGATTTAAAATTGCGTTCCATAGATGACATATGATCTTTTTTAAGTTGATGATATGATCCGTCTGTAAAAAACCAGATTTACCACTTGTCCAAAAATCTCTCATCATCTTCGCTCCTTCAAAGACAAAATTCCATTTGAGATGCCAGTAGCTTACAGCAGACCGGACGAAAAATATCAACTAGGCTCAAAGAACATGAAAGAGCTTTAAGACTACCGGATATACAATTTTATTCGATAAAACTACAATTCTAGCATCTACCAACGAAAAATCCGAGAGTCTATAGAAATCTGTAAGCAACCTAAAAATCTTAAGCGCGACTCAGATCTTTACCTGTCACCAACATGGGAATCAGTCATCCTAGATGGTGTTTATGCCCTTCATTTAGCTCCGCCCCCCTCAAACAATATAATATGATTGGCGAAACGTTAGCAAGTTCGACTCAACAAAAACCGACGCAGGAGGAATCGAGAAGTTTTGTAAATATCCTTATAATAAAATTATTATTTATTATTAATTCTATTTATAAATTTTCACAAAATATCATTTTCTAGTTTGAGTAGTTTTCTTGTTACAGAGAGTATATTAAAAAACTTGATTTTAATTTACTTTATTTTTATAGCTATAATGACACTTTAGAATCCTAATTTAATTGTTCACTGCGATGACCGACATCAAAACAATTACTTCATTATAACCATATCAGAAAACAAGAATCATTAAAGAAACAATGGAATTGTATGACCAAGCATCTAGAATCTCAAAGGTATCATATTTAATAAATAAAACATTGCCAAAATAAAATTATTGGCATAAAGATATAAATACTCGTAAATGCTAGGCACATATCTTCCTAATATATTTTAAGCGGTCCATTCGCCTCATTTTAATTAGCGTATCAGCGTAAAAAGTTTATTTTAAGATTTTAAGATTAGTACGCCGTTTCTTTTTTGCGCTCAGACGCCCCACGGCCAGATCAACATGCGGGAGGCTAGAGTGGAGGAAGTCGAGCACCTATCCGACTCAGATTCAGAGGAACGAGACTCCGAGCAACCGGATCTTACGATCGGAATTTTTCCGAACAATTCGGGACCCACTTACCTGCTCTGTCCCGGGAAACAAGAAAAGGACGCCTGGCTGTACCACCTGACGATAGCGAGTGGCGGCGGCCCAAACACAGGTACCCAATACGAGCAACTGATTCACAAACTGATGGAGGTGGACGGAGATCCCAACTGCGTACTGTGGCGACACCCCGTGCTTCTCCACGTGCCTTGCACCAAAGATGGCGCCGTTCCTTCGTATTTTCCGTTGACGAGTTTGCCTTCGGAATCGCTTCAAGCAGAGGCCATCAAACTCTTCAAGTGTCTACAATTATTCGTTTCTGCGGCTGTTGATCAAGCCGGTATCGATTATCACGTGATCCTCGCACAGAACGCTCTCCAGCAGTGTCTCGACACACCCGAACTGCAGCCAGAGCTCATCTGTGCGCTCGTCAAGCAGACAAGCAAAAGCGCTGCGTTGCCAAAGTTGGGAGTGCAGGTACCCACCCAAAAATTGCTTAAAAAGAGCGTAAGTGTGCTTTTTATGGTTTTGGCGGGAAGGAAGAGTGGGATTTTGGTGTTGGGTGGTGGGGATAGCGCGTAACTCCCATAGTTTCGTCGTAGACGCATGAAAATAATTTTGCACGCAAATTTTGTAGAATCAGGGAAAAAGCTTGCTAATAATATAAAATAGTTATTAGCAAGCAGACATTCTTGGTTATTAATATTTTTCTCTGTTGATTTTTTAAAGATTAATTGGTTTTGGTTTTTAGTGGCTAAACATTAAATTACATTTTTAAAATACCTCAAATTTTCTGTGGTATCGTTCCTCCAACCTTTAGTAGTCATAAAATGTATTCGATCGATTGCATGCTATTCGTACGTTTATTTTCGTTTTTTTTCTTCTTTCAGCTGACTAAGAATGTTGGTGTTTCATTATTCTTCTCCTTATTTTAGTTTCATATTTTTTAGGCATTTGGAGTTTAGCAATTTCGACTCGATGTGAATGCCATTGTTTTATTTCTTAGATAGAATCCTGCAGGATAATTAAATCGCCACATAATTACATATTCTTCCAGTAATTATTCAAAATTCCGTCATGCCATGAATTTTGATCAAAAGGACTGTAAATAGCTTAATAAATAACCCTAATAATTGGTCACCTTCACAAGAAAGGAAGATTGTATTAAAATATATTTTCTTCTATATATTTGTAAAAAAATATTCTCATCCAAACATACGGACACACACACACATAAGTCATCCACACCGCATACTGTTCCATGCTTGATTCTAGCTGTCCTACGCTTCTATTTAGTAGCGCAGTTCTACGAAGACGACGGCCAAAAACCGAAACACCAATAATCTTTTCAGCAACTGCTTCTCTGCGCGACGCAAAGTCTGTTTACGTGCGAAACCAACGCGCCGAGTATAAACAGTACGATATCTGATGATCAAATCGCATTGTCCAATATACAGGCCGCCCAGGAAGAAAAGTACAAGGAGCATAAGGAGTGTTTCAAGGAGCATAGAGATCCTAAAGCGCCACCCGCTTACACTCTGCTGCAAGGATGGCAGCTGTTGGCGCTTACCGTTAGTCTTTTTGTGCCCAAATCGTCGAAACTTTTGTGGTTTCTGAAACTGCACCTTAACAGGAACGCAGACAACCGAACCGAGTGCGGCAAGTACGCCGCTTATTGCGAGAGGGCGCTCGAGCGGACTATTGTTGCAGGTTCGTTATAAATGTACTTATTTATTTGCACATTTACGGCAGTTCGAAACGAATTCTATGTTTTTATATACGCAAGCAAAGACTTTTGCTTGTTTTGTTAGTATTATCTGCCTTAGGAAGATTTAAATTACGAATGGTTCCCTTGTTACTTGTTTACAATTTTTTGTTATAATTTAATGTGTGCCTATGTGGGTGTTTGTAACATTTTTTGTAGTGTAAGTGTGCTGTTTCGAACAATTTCACGGAAAAAAGCATCGATCCGGAATCCGGGTGCGTTTCAGATTACCTCATTATTTATATATATCATTCCAATAAGACCCATTTTGCAGAAAAATAAAAATTCTTTTGGCTAACGTCTTCCGCCATTTCCACCAATGTTTTTTCAGGTGGCCGTGAACTAAAACCATCCAGGATGGAAGTGCTAAGCATCCTGCTGAAAAACCCGCAACACCATTCTCTACCTCACTCGATGCCCGTCCACCTCATGAACGGAACATACCACATTACAAGCTTCGACGGTTCGACGACCATCAAAGAGTTTCAAGACTCGTTGGCTCACGAAATCGGGTGTCGGATGAACAACGGCTTCGCCCTCTTCAGCGACGATCCAATCGAGAAAGATCTGGAACACACGCTGGACCCCCACGCCAAATTATGCGACCTGATATCGAAATGGGAGATAGCGTTGAGGGAGAAAGGTCTAGGAAAGTTCGAAAACAGCAAAGTGATCCGGCTGACGTACAAGAACAGGTTGTGGTGGAAGAACAGCGCGAGGTTGGAGACCGACAAGGAACGCCTCCTTTTGTGCTATCAAGTCAACAAGCAGATAGTAACCGGGCGGTTTCCTTTGAGCCGCGAGCTCGCTCTTGAATTGGCGGCATTGATGGCCCAACTGGACGTCGGGGATTGTTCTTTGGGTTCCAACAAGAACACTCTATCTAGTCAGGGCACTTCGGCAAACATAAAACAAAGTCCAAAGTCTACAATTAACGGCACTCTGAGCCCTCAGGGTTCGATACAGAACAGCGCGACGTTGAGCGCTTTGAACAACGTCCAGGGCATTTTGGCCGCGCATTCCAATCAAGCGCTCAATGCGATCGATAAGTTTTACCCGTACAGGTACAGGGACCAACTGAACACTGACGGTCTCGCAGAACTCCAAGCGAAATTGTTGGCGAAATGGAGGGCCCTCAAAGGCAGGACGCAACTAGATTGCGTAAGGATCTACCTGACGTGCACGAGAAAGTGGCCGTTCTTTGGAGCTACATTGTTTCAGGTGAGCCGCAGATTTTCCTGCGCATGAGCAGGTTGGTTACCAAAATTGTACTTATATTTTATTTTATTGTTTATTGTGTATCAGAAATCACATTTCTGCAACAAGAAATCCGCATCAGACATCACATAAGCCTAAAAAAGACAAAAAAGTAAACTATCATCATGTGATTTCAAATACACAGGTACAAGCTAGTGTTATTTTTACTCATTTCTTAGAAAGACACGGACGGGTCTTTAATATATTTATAATAAGATAAGTAAGACGTTTTTACCCACATTAGTCCAAATTTTTTAAAGCTGTAATAAAGGTATTGTTATAATTTGTTTCAAATTGATTATTGTTATATACAGAGCAAATCTGATCAGGTTTAATGAAGGAAGCGCAGCCTTTAAAATGGACATTAGCAATTAGCAATTTAAATAGCTGAGTGGTAGATCAGATTGCACCCTCTTGAATAAAAATTCGTGTAGTGTGAACCAGCTGCAATTGCTTCACCACCCGCCATAAAACAACTCACGAAACAGCTCTCTAATCTGACATGCAGTTGACATTGGTGTGTTGATCAGAGAGGGCTAGCGATCAAAACACAGTCTCAGAAGACGACTCTCTTAATACTTTCATAAGAAAGGTGAGGCAATTTAAAGGTTTGGTAAATTTAGTGTTACTCGCTCAAGTATGTAGGTATAAAGTATGCCCCAAAATGGAAGACATCTGGAAAAAATATTTAGTATGGTTGTTTGGTATATTTTTTGAATTGCGTCACCAAAAAGAATGCTTACTCTTTCTCAGCATTGACAATGGAAATATAAACCGCTATTTCTGCCATTTCTCTAAACAAAGAGGAAGAAAGGAATGTCGCACCAAGGTAATTAAACCTTTTAGCCACTGTCCAGTTGAGGCTATGAAACGCGTCAATAGAGAGGCCTTGAAAAACCATTGAAGAAAAGTACTCGTCAATATGCGCAAGAAAAAGGGAAAAAATAAAAGGCTAAGCGATTCGTCCTGAAGGACACCTGCGGTGATATCGTACTCTACTTTTACCGGACTTTGGAAAAGTATTGCAATAAAACATGATCTCCCTATTCTGGTGTAAACTCTAAGTTATAATGTCACACCTCCTACAAATTTATTTGCTTCTCGCTTCATAAGAAAAGCAAAATATCTAAACAAATAGCTAATCAAAGAGAACCCAAGGATATTTGCGGCCTCTCGGCTATTCGTAATCTTTCATCGGAATTTTCAGGCGAAAATGAGTCAGCATGAGTCACCGATGATATGGCTCGCCGTCAACGAAGATTCCATCACGGTCCTAGATCTGGCGACGATGCAGCAACGCGTTCGTTATCCGTACACCAACGTACTCACCTTCGGTGGTTGCCAGGAAGACTTCATGCTCGTGGTGACCCAAAACGACCAGCAACCGTCTCAGAAACTTATATTTTCGCTGAGCAAGCCGAAAATCCTCGAGCTCACCCTGCTGATAGCCGACTACATGAATTTACTGATCAACAATCCGGGAACGCCCCTTCTCGGGACACTGAGCAGAGGTACAATGGTGTCGGTTAACCAATCCATCGTTAACCAGTCGATCATCAGTCAAACGCTCGCCAACCAAACGCAGCCCGATATTTTGAAGTCAACGCCTGACCACGGCGTCCAGAGATGCGATTCGAAACGTCGAACTCACATAGATTCAGGTCTGGCGTGATAACGGCCTCGCGAGCTACAACACCCGTTTTATTTTTTTGTTGTGATTTTTTTTGTCCGACAGCTTTTTTCGTGCCAGAGAGATGGATGTGATGCGTGTCTGTGTGTATATATTTCGATGGGACCGTGTAAATATGGCTTGTGTGTTTTGTTTTTCTCTTTCCATCAAACGGTTTTATATTTGTTTTTTTTTGTTGAAAAAATCTTAATTCCACAATTTGCAGCTAATCCTAAATGAACCATTTCTATTATTAAATTGTACGGAGCACCGTCATCAGCGATGAATATTTTGTCCCTCAGTTTTATGTTTTCTCCATTTCGACAGAATCTTTAATTTGATTTGAGCTTCTACACGTTATCACAGTCATACCCCTACGATATGTATTATAGCATGTATAGTTTGTAGGTTAGGTTATTTTATAGACGATTTTTGGCCCGAAAATTGTTTAATACTAGTCCATCATTATATTTTTAAAATTTATTATTCTTAACGAGTGTTGACAATATGATATAGATATGTATGGTTACCATTTTTTTTTGTTTTTCGATTTTGATATTAATTCGTACCTAACGCCATATTATTTTGGATTGTGTTTTTTTACTGTCCCTTGAATATATTTTTACTGAAAAGTGATAAGTTTCAATTGCGCTGGAGAACACGGAAGAAAAATTCGGATTTTAAAAAATATTGTCGCTGCCTGGGTTAGCGGAAAAAGTGAGTACCTATTTTGAAAACTGGTGTCAAAGAAAAGAACAGAGGCGACAAAGCTCAGATATAACATTCTAGACGTGAAATTTGATTCAAAACTGGAAACAAGGTGCATCAGTTTAATGAAACCCGTAACTTCGATTTAATTAATATTTACTTTTTTATTTAAATATTTAACTTCTAGCAGTGACTTTGTAAAAAAAACATTCCATAAAGATATATTTACAAGTCTTCGCAAAATAGGACAACTATAATACAAATTAACGTACATAGAAACAAAATATGGCAAGACGATCGCAGTATATATACCGGGACGTCCTTGATACAAGGACTGCACGCGATCGCTTATTACTTAAACGGCACACACACACCCACACGCACACTTTCCGACCCTAAAAAACTACACGTATTCTTCCGACGGCTTGGGGGCGGAGTTCGCGAGTCGTAGCGACGCTGCCACCCTTCCATTGACCGCATCCGGCAACTCGGCGATATCTTTAAACACTCCCGCTAAACTTTCAAAGTTCGGACCCCAATTGAGGTAATAGTCCCACCCTAAAGCGGTGGCGGTAGGCGATGCCACCCCCGTGCTGTACATCGGCCCCCCGATTTCGTCATCGGACGCCACCAAAGTACTCATCGACCCGCGGTACGACGAATCGAAACCGTCGTAGGACGGGGGCGGAATATTATTACCCTTGTCGCCCGAACTCGTGTCGTTTCGTCGCGACTCGATCTCGTTCTGTTTGTATTTACCGTCACCCGTCAAGCTCGTGTTGTCGTACTCGATTTCCGAACACGTGAAACTGTCGTTTCCGCTTTCGTCGGTCGTCGTCGAACTGTGATGCGTTTCCGGTACCGGACTGTGACGCATATGGTTAAGGTGATTCGTCACGCCGCCGACGCGTGGCGCTTCGCTCGAACTCGATACTGCGTCGAGGGTAGACACAAGGCTAGAGGTCCGAGGACGCGAGTTCAGTCTTTCGATCTCTTCGGCGGTGAGGCCCATCCCGGGGGACGTCGATGTGACAGGCGGTGGTGCGGCGCCCTTCCTGCCGAAGATAAGATATGGAATTTTGTTCTGTAATGTCACAGATATCAGAAGATGAATAGATCTCTCCCCCTACCCTTGCTAAAACCAATGAAATTATGTCCAAAAAAGTCATAAACCACTTTTCATCCCATCATTAATTACTCAACGTTTAATTCAAAAGAGACACAAAAAGTGAAAATTTAATAGACCCGTACTATGTTATATAATTGAAATTGCTATTAAAGTGGCTATTAGAAAGTCCAAAATTATATTATTATTAAGAAAATTGAGAAAAGTAGCATTTTGGGAAACATGGCAATACCTTGTATTTTAAGAAAATATTTTAAATTTGATCATTGACTAAAGAAAAGCATTATTTTCGTAAGAAATAATAGTTATTAAAAAGTTAAAAAAGGTAATAAGCAAGCAACCCAACAATGATGGTTTCAACATAACCCGAATTCCGAAGATGATCGCTAATAAGTTCGATCCATAGATCCATACTCATATATATTGGCGACTTTGTCTTTGAAAGGACTATCGAAATGCAATAAAAGGTAAAGTGTTTTATTAAAAAAAATGTAACTTTGTTTTACCACCCTGTATATAAAGAATTAGGAAAATAAAAAAAGGGCCATTATAATATAAACAACTTTTGTATTTATTTGTAACCCTGTAGGTTTCGAGATAAAGTATGGGCCCCTCTTCAACGGACCACCACCCTGTACAAACTTGGCGTGTGGCGCGCGATGTACATTTTTAAAAAACATCAAATCAAAGGTTGGAAATTTTGGAGCGTCGCGTCAAGTTTGTACGCGGCCAAAAGCACTGAGCAGTCGGACAAATTTATTGCACTGTGGAGGGGATTAAAGAGCACTTTGAACATTGAACATTTTTCTTTGTCCATTTTTCAAGGCAGTATAGGAAAAGACCGCCGAAATTCCAATAGCTAATATATTAAAAGTATGAAGTGAGGTAATAAAGTATTTCTGGTGGTAAAAATATAAAGTAAGGTGATAAAGCATTTCTGGTGGTTCATAATATAACAATGAAGCAGTTTTACTACTTTTAACATAATAGTTATCGCAGTGAAAGCTCCGAAAAGAAGTCTTAATTTGCGCTTGTATGGTCGTACCTGTAGAAGGTCATATATTACGAAACCTCGATAAAACAGGAAAATAATTATTCGTAAACGCAACTTAAAGTACCGATATCGCCCTACTACGCTTAAGACACTGACCTGCTGTTGGAACTTTGACCGCTTAATTGCGACATGACCGGACTGTTCAGACTGCGCTCGCTGTTACTGTGCAGCACGTCCTTTCCGACGCCTCCCGAGCTGGACGTCGTCGCCAGCAGCGCGCTCTGCAATGGTTTACCACTAATGTCATGTAGGGTGAGTATCCTCGGCTGCTGCGCGCTCATCTCGCTGCTCGGGCTCAACCGAGCCAGTGGTGTGCTCTGATGGGGTCTCGCCCCGGGACTAGTCACCGGTAACGTCCTCGGAGGGTACCCGGTAGGATGGTGCGGCGAGTGTCTGTGCTGCGCCTGCGCTTGCCCTACTGCGTGCTTATGATGGTAACCGCCCACGGACGGGGGCGCGGCCTTGTACTTGCGCACCCCACCTTCCCTGAAGCCTTTGTAATGATACACTATATCTATGTCGGAAGGCGCTATCGAGCTAGCGTTCTCCAAATCGTAATGTTCTGGCATATCTGAGTTCATATCGTTGGCCGTATGATCGTGATTGTGTACGGAAGAGGGCGGTAGCGGCAAGTGATGTTCATCCCTTAACGGCGGATTTTTCGTCACGATTTCTCTCTCAATGATGTCCGGCCTTTGGGGTCTCGGCAAGTCACCTTGGATGTCACGCTCCTTGAACTTTTTCGGTAGCAGTTCAGGTCCGACCAACGGGTGGCCGCCTATACCCCGAATAACGTCACCTTCGGAATGGTACGACATGGCGCCGTCCACGCCATGTAGGTTCCGGGATAGCACGTTCTCGTTGACGACGTTCAAACCATTCGCTATATTAGGGACGCCGTTCTGCTTACTTTGAATTGCGGTCGCGCCGCTCGGACCTCCTCCTTTCTCCTTGTACTGTTTCCTCAAACGAAACACGACGAACGACACCAAGATGGCGACTAGGAGAACGATGAAGAAAACAATCACGAGAGTGATACCGATACTCAACGGGTCCTGGATAGCGGCGTTGCCGACGCCTACGGCACCGTTACATTCTTGACTAATCTTGCCGTGAGCGACGGTCTCTGAGAATATAGATCCGGTGCCGTTGAACGGCTGAATCTCACCGTTGACGGTGAAATTCGCGAGGCAACCTTCGAAATAGTCCGGGAATGAAGTGTTGGCGTGGTACGCGCTTCTGGCCGCCCCGCCTATCGACAAGTACGTCAGGTAGGGATCCAAAAAGTCGTGAACACCTGCCGCCTCGAGTTCCTCCCCCAGCAACTGACCATCGAGATTGATTTCGACGGCACGGTCTCGTCCTCTCAAGGTCAAGATATGCCACCTGCCGTCGGTGACGGAGGGATGTGATCCGCTCATGTTTACCGCCGATGACAGTTTGCTCTTGTAGACGACCTTTCCAGCGACTAGTTCCACGGACGTGTAGTACTTGTTACTGCTGGCGTAGAGGAGTAACGCGTTCGACTTCGACGTCCTAAAGTTGATCTTGACAGTTTTGTCGACCAGGGCGGACCTGGGGCGGTCGGCCCACAAGGTGGTACCACCGTAGATGTTATCCAGCAACTGCATCCTACGGTGTTTTTTCGACACGCGAAACTCTATGAAGCCGCCATCGGCAACGGTGATGGGTCGAAGGGCGGAATTGCAATTGGGCGCGATTCGATCGTCAGCACACGCACACGAAGAGCTACTCCAACGGTCGACGCAGGTGCCGGAGCCGCCGCACTGGTCGGAGAAGGACTTGGTGCACGTCAGGGACCGCGAGCATTTTTTTTCCACGCCCTCTGATCTGATTGGTTTGCTCAGGTTCAGCTGCCTGCCGTTGACGGATACGCTGTGGACGCACCCGACAAAGTCGTCCGAATGCACTTGTCCCGGTCGTTCCAAGATCGGATCCGGACTGTCCAGTCCACCGATTATCAGTGGGTGGTTATTGAAATTCAACGTTCTGGAAACGGGGCTAATTATAGTAAACCTTCAAACAATTTATTTTAATTTTAACAATAACTTCACTCATGAAACCAACCTCCCCAGGTGTATCTAAAAAGTAAACGTAAACTCACCCGCTATCCCCTGTATTCTCGGCGTAGCAAGCACCGTCACCAGGTCGGCACTCCTCGCAGATGTCCCCCTGGTCTGTGCATGTACCCACGTTCAGTGATATAACCTTGCCATTTCTCGTCGCCGTGATCTTGTACCAGCTTCCGTCCGCGAGGTTATTAGACCTACCGCCGACGCTAACCGAAGTTACGGCGGTACGGGCGCCACCAAATGAAAAAACCGCCCGCCCTTTTACCAATTCAACCGCCACGAAATCGCTCCTCCCACCCGTTTGCACCCCGTAATTGTAGACCAACAGCGAGTTCTGCTTGGTGGTAGCGAAAACGAAGGATATGTCGTTGGTGGTGGCATCTAGCGGCGGGAACGTCATGTACGAAAGCTCGTTGAAACCGAACGTCGTCTTCTCGCAATGGCGGCCATACCGTCCGTCGGTACAGCTACACTTGTACCCGGGTTTCTGGTTGACGCACAGTCCTCCGTTCAGACAAGGATTAGGACGACAAAAGTCCGCCAAGACTTCGCATCTGTTGCCCCTGTACCCTGACCGACAAAGGCAAAAGTACGACGATCCATCTGGACTCTCCTTGCATGTACCGCCGTTTTGGCACGGATTTTCCGAACACGCGTCACCGCGTTCAGTCTCGCAGTGGCGTCCGTCTCTGCTGTGCGGACAGACGCAGTGATAATCGAATCCCTGTCGTCGGCACTGACCGTTGTTCTTGCACGGATTGGGCATGCATGGATCTTGTCGCTTTCCACACGTGGTACCGCTGAAACCGTCCGCGCAACGGCACCGGTACTCGAGTACTACCGACGGCGAAGTGAACACGATGTTTTGGCTATCCGTGATTTTGGCGTTTCGTTTCACATTTAGAGATTCTGTACAGGTACCGTCGTTAGCGCAGGTGTCGCCCGCGCACGGCGAGTACCCGACGGTGACGGCGCGCGAGTTAAAAAGTGCTGCCAGTGCTTCCCGTTTTTCGCGAAGTGCGTTTTCAGTGTACGACTTGGTTTTGTACGAGATACCGCTTCTCAAAGCCGTAGCTAGTTGGAGACCTTCCGTAGATTCGTGAAGACTGTACAAAACCAAAGTTTCGTCAGCCGCTAGCGACGATTTCAATGTTTCCAGAAAACCAGCGTAGTAGTGCCCTAAGAAATGAGCGGCGGTGAGGTTCGCTACCAAGAGTACCACCGAGTTATCCACGGTGTTGTTATCGAACGGCACAAACTCCACGGTGACGCTCGAGATGACCGGTTTGTGTTTTCCGTCGCTGCCCGATACGGATAAGGAGTACCCCTGACCGGACATGCACTTGGATGTGTGCAAATCGCATCCGGCGGGTATGGACAGTATGTCGGACGACGCGGACTTTTGGATAATCTTGCACTTATAGTCGCCCACCAAGTCGGGATCGTTGGGACGCACGTTGGCGATCATTCCCACAGGAAACTCGCCGTTGAAGGTGTACACCATGACGTGGACCGAACGGGGAGTGGACTCGCTGTCATTCTCGTCAAGGATGTCGATCTTGACCGGGTGCTGCGATTTCATTTTCGGCGTACCGCTATCTTCGATTTCCACCAGGATCTGCAGTTCCGGGTTTACTTCCCTGTCGGCGGGTCTGGTTGTGAAAACTACCCCTGTGTGGCGGTCGACGGTGACGAAGTCCCGATGCTTCCCGCCTACGAGTTTATACGTGAACGGGGCTCCGTTGGGGGGCAGGTCCGGGTCTTTGGCTGATAACGTCATCACTTTGGTACCCGATGGTTCATTTTCCAGTACCTTTCCGACGGGTTGAGGGGGGTCGAATACCGGTCCATTGTCGTTGACGTCGAGCAGGTGGATTTTAACGGTTGCGGTGCCTGTTTGCGGAGGCACGCCGGTATCTATGGCGCCGAGGATAACCGAGTACACCGGTACCGTTTCTCTATCCAGATCTCTTACAGTGATGACGTCGCCTGTGCGGGAATCGACTCTGAAAGCTTGGTCGACGTTGCCTCCGATGATGGAGTAACTGAACTGATTGTTTTGGGATCGGACATCTTTGTCGACGGCTTTGACAGTCGTTACTTTGGTACCGGGCAATGCGGATTCGGAAACTTCCGCTTCGTAGATATTTTGCAAGAATTCTGGTGGATCGTTACCGTCTTGTACAGTAACGATGACTTGCGCCTCGTCTGTGTCGTTTCCTCTGATACCTCCGGCGTTCTTCGCCAGCACAGTCAACACTATTCGACTCTGAGTTTCCCGGTCGAGGTTTCTGGAGACGCTGATTGCTCCCGATTCCGTATTGATGCTGAAGCCACGGTCATTGCTCGATCCGACAAATAAATAGTAAACTTTACCGTCGTCGCCAGAGTCCTGGTCCGTAGCTAAAACGGTACCGATTTTGGTACCGAGCTCCGTCGATTCTGACACTTCGAAGTGGAACGCGGATTGGATGAACTTGGGAAAGTACTCGTTGACGCCGACTATGTGAACCAGGACTTCGGCAGTACCGTACATCGACGAGTCCGGATTCGCTGCCACGACATTGAGGAGGTAGAGGTTTTTGTATTCATAATCGAAGCTGACTTTGGAGGTTATCGTGCCGGTTCTTTGGTCGACGTCAAAGTACTCTTTGTCTGGGCTTTCCGATATAGAGTACAGTATGACAGCGTTTTTGGGTGAATCGATATCAGTCGCCTGGACCTTGAAGACGAAACTGTCCGGGGCGGAATTCTCCGAGAGGAAGGCGTCGTAAGAAGTTTCGTCGAAGTTGGGTGCGTTGTCGTTGATGTCGGTAAGCGTGACGGTCAACATGGCCGTCGATTTGCGAGGTTTGAAGCCTAGGTCCTGTGCGGTAATGTTTAAGTGGTAAGCTTGGATGATGTCGTAGTCCAAGGGTTGGGATATGGTTACCGCGCCGGTCACCATGTCGATGCTGAACTCTTTTCGCTCGTTGCCTGCCGATATTTCGTATCTGGGACCGGAAGATCAGCATTAGAATAGTGTTGATTGAGCTTGAGAGTTTATAAACATTTTTTTTTAAACATTATGTTTAATTAGAACAGAAAATGTTTCGGCTCGTCGTGTTCACAGTTAAAATCAACAGATTTCAAATTTCGGGGTCGTTAATAATAATAAAATTCTACAGTGCGAAATAATTAAAAAAAAAATAGTACTCAATATTCAATCGCTGATAAGTCTTAGATTCTTGTTGGATTTAAACCTAGACTCTATGTACTTACCTTATCATGCCATTCGGGCCTTCATCTTCGTCAGAAGCGCTGACAGTGAGTATCGTCGATCCCAAAGGTTCGTTTTCTGGGACTATCACCTGGTAACTGAGCGCAGTGAACGTGGGACTGTACCTGTTCTCTCCCGTCACTATTATAGTGACTGCAGTCTCGTCCATTTGGATAGGGATGCCTCTATCTGTGGCCCTTATTCTCACATTGTATACGGAGCCGACACGTCGAATATTCTTCTTTAACGACACCCATCCTGTTGACCTATCCACTGCGAATTTATCACTACCGTTTCCTCCCACGATCGAGTACTCTATCTCCGCGTTCACGCCGGCATCCAATTCGTCTTTAGCCACGACTCTGACTAAATGCTGACCTTCGACCGCATGTTCTGGCACGGGTGATAAATACTCCTGCTGTTCGAACTTGGGGGCGTTATTATTAGCGTCTACTACGTTGATGGTGATGGTGCATTCGGACGACATTGGTGGTTTCCCGTTATCAGTCGCCAACACGGTCAAAGCGTATGTGTTCTCAGGCGAAGTTTCTAACTGGGTATGCTTGAACCTAATACTCTGTTTGCTGAAAATTTCTCCTGAGGCAGGATCGACGGTAAACAAATCGGAAGGTTGTTGTAACGAATAACTGATGACGGAGTTCGGTCCTTGTTTGTCCCTATCGGTGGCGATAACCTGCCCTACGAAGACGACGTCTCTCTGCAACTCGGGGAAGTTGAAGCTGTAGTACGAGTGCTCGAATTCTGGTGCGTTGTCGTTCTGATCCTGGATAGTAATGGTGAGGGGTGTCTCGGCACGCCAGGCGCCGTCCACGGCGGCTACTTTTAGCAGGTATTCGTCCTGCTGCTCGCGATCCAAATGACCCGCTACTGTCACGTTGCCTGTGACGCCATCTATTTTGAACTTCTCCCCGGGGTTCTCGGTGAAACTGTAGGTGGCGTTGGCGTTCTCGCCGACGTCTTGATCGGAACTGGTCACTCGGATCACGAACGATCCGATCTCGGAGTTTTCGGTGACGTTGACACTGAAGAGTCTCGTGAATCTTGGAGGGTTATCGTTTTTGTCGACAACCGTTACCAAGACGGTAGCGGTACCTGTCAGCTGAGGTTCACCCAGGTCCACCGCCAATACCTATCGAGTTATTTTTTTATTACCATTGATGTTCACCATTCAGTTCTGTAATGTTAATGGCCTAAATTGTTTTCTGACTTCAAGCTTTTTTATATTATTTATATTTTGATTTTACTCAAGTGATTTTCATTTCAATTAAAAAAACTGGCAATACTCCTATCTCCGTATATTTTAAATGAGTATACTGCTCTGATGTGCTAATTTGGTTTGGTTAAATTTTCTTATTATTTATTTCCTTTTATTATAACTACTTTGTTTCAAAATAAATATAAATGTATAAACCAATGCCAAAACGACAACCTTACCGTCAGCTCGTAGTTCGGGATATCTTCCCGGTCCAGCTTGGTGCTGGTGTATATCTCTCCGCTCGCAGCGTCCATCTCGAAGGCGCCTTCTTTGTCGTCCAAAAGTTTGTATTGGACTTTGCCGTTTTCACCCGAATCGGCATCCGTAGCCGATATCCTTGCGACCAGCAGGGGCGGCGATTCCTCCTCCACGACCGAAGCGTTATAAAGCTGCATCTTCATTACCGGCGCGTTGTCATTGGCGTCCGTCACGTTGATGTTCAGCTGCAGTACGCTTCGCAGCGGCGGTACGTCTGAATCTTGAGCCTCTATCCATACCTCGTATTGCGTCGACGTTTCGTAATCTAATCCCGCGCCAGACACCCGGATTTCACCGGAGTTCCGGTCAATTTTTAACGATTCCCCCACGTTGCCTCCCGCTATCGCGTACTTTATCTCCCCGCCTGGTCCTTTTTTGGGCGACGTCGCCCTGACTTTTGCGAACACTTTCCCCTCCTCAACGTTCTCCGGCAGTACGAACTGGGTACGACCTGTTGAAGTGAACCTGGGGAACGAGTGGTCTTCTTTCAAGTGAACTTTCAGCTCCGCGCTGGTCTTCCTGCTCGGTCGACCGCCATCTTTCGCTTCTATCTCTAAACGGTACGTTCTGGTACTTGACCTTTCAAGATTGGACGACGCTCTGACCACTCCAGTCTCTCGGTTCATGGTGAAGTTGACGGAATGCTCTCCCACTAGGGAGTAGCTTATTTTGCTATTGACACCGACGTCATCGTCGGTCGCCCTTGCACCGAAAACGAACTGGCCCACATTGGTTTTGTCGGAAATGTAAACCTCGTACTTTGAAGAGGAAAACGTGGGCGAATTGTCATTTTCGTCAGTGACGACGATGCTCAAGTTGACAGCGCTAGCTCTGGGTTCCGTGGCGGAGCAATCTTGCGCCATCACCGTAAGTGAATAGAAACCGACTCTCTCCCGGTCTAGTACGGCCCCGGTGGAGATGGTACCGGTGTCTTGATCGATACGGAAATTGTCCACCTTGTCTCCCAGCAAGCTGTAGAGTATTTTGCCGTTCGGACCGATGTCCTTGTCGATGGCTGCCGGTGTTAGTACCGAAGTACCGACTGGGGAGTTTTCCGTTACGCTAGCGACATACTCTTGACGTTTGAATTCGGGACTGTGGTCGTTGACGTCTTGGACTATGATACGGAGAACACCGCTGCCCGTTAGAGGCGGTGAACCTGGAAAAATGAATTTGTTACGCTTAAACTTAAATTTTTCGAACTGGACCCGTATGCAAGTACTCTGCCGTAATAAACGAGAGCATGGGCAGATGAAGAGTATAGAAGAACAGGATTTTACAAAAAAAAAAATGTCGATGCGTATCTTAATTTTTATGCCGCTTCTTTATTTCTCTGCGGTTAATAGGGGGACCTGATGAGCTATAAAATTACCAAAACGTCGTCACTCGGCGGTTATCTCGTTTATTGCGAAAAATTGTGCATAAAAATAAATCAGCCAGTAAAATCGTTGACAAAAAAGGTTCGCATAGCACAGCACGACCGAGAAACCACCTAAATGTATTTGGAATGCGCTTTATTTGCCATAAAAAATGATGATTACGATGATACATTGGAATCGATTGAAAACTTGCAAAGTTTACTAGAAAACATAACAACAGCAATTTGTTATCATCATCATAATACAGGTTAATCTTCATAATAAAGTGGATATATGGGCATCAATAAAAAACTCGTACAAACCCCAGATAGAATTCTAAATTATTATTGTAGTTAAATTTTCCTTGACCTCTGCTCAAAATTTAAAAAAAAAATATATATATATATATATATATATATATATATATATATATATATATATATATATATATATATATATATATATATATATATATATATATATATAAAAGTAACCCCGCCCCCGGCTCCGACATCAACTTTGTTATTTTAAATGGAAAAGCCTATATATTTAGACATTTTTTTAAATCTTTGGGTATAATAAAGGCCACTTTCATAACAAATTCATATTCGAATTTTGCATAGCTTAGGCAGAAATTGAGGTTATGTGTTTTATTTCATATTTTGATTGCCCCATATAAAATTGTGTTGTGACACTACTGATGCAGGTGTTGCAACGAAAATTTAACCACAGACTAAGGAGTTGATGCACTACTTAATCAGTTTGACTGATGCGATTCAGATCATACAGGGGGTCCCAAATAGGTGGTGCGGTTTTGGCGAATTCAAATAAAATCTCAAGATTTTCAAATGGAACACTATATATTTTTAGAACAAAAAATAAGTTAAGTTTGTAATTTATCTTATATTTAAATTTTACTTACTTTTTCAGACATTCGAGGTTTAAGATACCACCCGTATAAATTCTTATTGACTTTAAAGTTGCCCACATTTGGTCACTTGTTGGCAATATTAGGTATTTTTTAAATAGCAAATACTACTTCTTTTAAATATCTAATACTCCAGATATACGAATAAAACCTATTGCCAACAATACAGATTTAATAAAACTTCAGAATTCATATTTAAAGAAACATTTAATACCTAATTATCTAGCTTGATTGCAAATAGCTAAAATAAATAATCGAAGATAACAAATTTGAACAAATAAATCTATAGAAATGGAGTTAACTAAAAAGGGTTCGTTAAATCGGTCCATAAAGTTTTGTTAAAAATGCTATTCTTAAAATGCTCATTTGGCATCAAAACAACAAAGAAATATCCAAATATTTAAAAATGTAGTTGGCTATGACATCACTTTTTTTTTACGCATTAAGGTATAAACAAACTTTGATATTTCTGTTTGTTTTTGTTGTTTTTCATATTTGTATTTAAAAAGTTCATAGTTGTCAAGTGTTTTGTTAGTATATATTTTATCTGTATTTTAGATAAGTTATAGTTTTTTGGTTAACCTATAAACTTTAATTATTTATTTTTGTTATTAGGTATTTTCAATCAAGCTAGATGATTAACCATCAAATGTTTCTTTAAATATGAATTCTGAAGTTCTATTAAATTTGTTAAAGTATAGAGTCAATTTTTTTCAAAATTTCCATCCACGTATTGATGGACACCCTGTATTGTTGGCAATAGGGTTTATTCATATATCTAGAGTATTATATCTTCAAAAGAAGTAGTATCACGTCTTTGATATTTAAACAATACTTAATATTGCCTAATGTTAGCTTTAAATTCAATTTATACAGCTGTTATCTTAATCAATTTCTGCCTAAATTATGAGAAATTCGAATAGGAATTTCTTAAGAAAGTGTCCTTTATTTTAACCAAGGATTCAAGAAATGGTGTTCCATTTAAAATAACAAAGATGATGTCGGGGACACACTTTTGACACACCACACACATTTTTGGTCAGCTAAAGATCGAAAATTAACTTAGGAAGTTACTTACGTTGCATGCTCAGGGGAGAGAGGAAAATTTTCATATGCTTCAATACAGACCGTAATTTAAGAAATAATTGCACCCTGTAACATGTAAAGAGCTGCTCATAATTAAATTTACTGCTTAGCTGAAAGGTTAGTTAGTAGAGTTAACTACTCCAAAAAGTTTTACTTTTCTCCAAAGTTCTGGCACACATTTTATTAAATAACTTCTTAAAGTGAAAATTAACAACTTGTATTTAGTGGCCTGTTGCCACCGTCTTCTCGCAAAAGGCATTTTTATATTTTATAAAAATTTCTGTTTTGTAATGTACTTGAAAATGAAAACTTAACAAACTTAAATAGTAAAAGAATTATTATTTTAACAAATGCTCAAAGTGGTGTCCATTATTCTGGATGCGAACTCTTTTTTGAAATGAGTGCCGAACTCTGGATAACATTTCTTCTGGTATGAAACGGTCTTCTTATCGTACTATCATATCCTTAGATGTCCTTGGCGGTACATTGAAAACAATATTTATGATATATCCTCATAATAAATAGCCTTGACTTGTCTGCCTGGCCAGTTCTGTCGACCTCCTCGTCATATCCATAACTCTTCCTCAGTATGGGAGTTGGAGAGTAGAACGCCGAGGGCTCAGTACTATACAATGCCATTTTTGCAGACCCACTTGTCTTATTAGATTTAGCTAAAATACTCCTGATAAGTTTTGTTTGAACCTAAGTATTGTATCGTCAGCAGTATTATTTCAAAATTTTGAGGAGTTGAATGTTGAACCGAAATTTTGATCTTTGATTGGTTTTTGGTTGTGTATTCCTCGAGAGATGATAGTTTGCTTTTAATATAGTGACCAACTATACTCGTTTACTGAATTTTGTATTCTTTTTTTCGCAAACCGTACTCTTTTCAAATCCTGTACTCTGAAAACATCCGTTTGTATAATTTTATTCTCATTTGTATTTGTAAAACATTTTTTTAGATTATCTTATTTCAATTTCATTAATTAAATATTTAAAATTATTTTGACAGTGATTTCAATTTCACGCGCGCATATCGCACCAAACTCCAGTTTGACAGTGATAGATACTACAGACCTCTTTTTCTAACAACGTCAAAATTACATTTGGGAAAAGATATAGATATATCTATCTCCTCAATATTTGCGTAGGTAATCCCCAGGCTAATCTTTGATGTGCAGTATGCATGGAATGCTTGAGAGTCTTGATGCATGCGTAGTATGAATGGCAACGTTTTATGGCAATTCCTTTTCTGTTTGATTAATTTGAAAACCAACAATTTTGTACTTTTTGTTCAATTTAACAAGATTTGAATTGAATAAAATAAAACAAAATTTTATTTTATTTATCTAGTAAAGGTGAAATTGCATGTAAGTATTAATATTATAGTTTCACTTTCATTTTACTTAAATAGTATCAGATTACAATATTTATTTAAAATCAAAATAAAAATTATATTAGTGATATAATTTTTAGATTATTAATTCAAATATGAGGGAAAAAAGAGTTTCCGTTCATTGTAGTCAAAAATCGTTAAATGCACAGTCTGCAATAGGAAATTTTCATTTGCAATTCATGGACGTAGTACAATAACGGCACACATTGAAACTAAAGTACATAAAACTTTTGGAACTAATGAAAAAAAATTGGCAGTTGTGGAGGGTACTTTCACTTTTCAGACAATAATCCATAATCAAAGTAAATTATTTAAAAAAAATTGTGACGAAAAATTTTCTTGTGCGCGAACAAAATGTGAGTCTATCGTAACCAGCGTATTTAATGAATACTGCAGCAAAATGCTATCAGAAAATCTGGATTCTGTGTCATATATATCAATGAAATAAAACTTTATCCAAATTTAGTAAGGTATTTTGATATTAAGAGCGGTATTTAAATTAATTAATTTGGAATCAATCGAAGTGGAAACATCATACATATTTTTTAATGACTTATTTCGAGTTATAACAGACAACAATTTGAATAAGAAAATTTTTGCGCTCTCGGCTGATAAGACAAATACTAATTTTGGAGGACGCATCCGTAAAGGTGTCAATAATGTCTACACAAAATTACAAGATCTTCTGAAACGAAATATTTTCAATATTTTCAAAATAAATCAAGTTCAATATCAATAGATGTGGAAGTAATTATAACAAATATATATTTATATTTCAAACGGTTTACAGTACAGGTAGCAAGTTTCAAAGAATTTTGTGAAGGGGTGTGATGTTCAATACCAAAAACTGCTTGTTTACTCCAGTCATATGACTTGCTTTTACTCCAGCATTAGAACGCGTTTTGCAGTTATATGATCCACTACGTTCATATTTTTTAAGCCTTGACAAATGTGCTACAATTTTGAAGAAATTCCTTCAAAACGATGTCTTAGAAACTTTTCTTTATTTTATTCCCGGTCAGGCGTCGTTGTTCCATAAAATTACTCTACAAATTGAAGGAGATAAAATTGATATTCAATATAAATCAAGATTTAATGATGGATTTTTACCACTAATTCTAAAGAATAAAGTGACCATTCTGAAAGATTCCAATCCCGGAATAAAAAATGAAATTTTAAAATAAGTTAAATTTTTTTATAAAACTTGCTATGAACATATCGAAGAATGGTGAACTTCAGAGGCATAACTTGTTTCAAATGGACACTCCTAAATAGCAAAATTGAATGGAAAGAAGTTTCTTCAGCAGTCGAATTTATAATGAAGGAAGTAATAGTATATTATGCAGCAAGCGCGGTAAACGGCATTTGACTGACGAGTATATTTGAAATGA